AATGCCGAAAGCCCGTTTCGGGCCGGTGGCGACAAGCTCATCCCTCTCATTTTTCACAATAATGAGGCCTGTCATCTTGGGGACCACTTGGACCGGACTCACCCACTAACTATCTAATATAGGATAAATGATCCCAGCTTGAAGAAGCTTGGTCACCTCCTTCTTCACTACATCCAAAATGACAGGGTTGAGTCGCCTCTGGGACTGTCTGATTGGTTTAGCTCCATCCTCTAAGAGTATCCTATGCATGCAAGTGGATGGGCTGATACCATGAATGTCTGCCAGGGTCCAACTGATGGCTTTCTTATGCTTTTTCAGAACGTGCAATAATTTCTCTTCTTAAACAGCATCAAGGGAGGTAGAAATGATCACTGGCAACTTCTCATCATCCTCTAAGTAAGCATACTTGAGGTTTTCTAGTAGAGGCTTTAATTCTGGAATGGGTGTTGGTTGAACAGTAGAAGGAACTAAGGGTTCCAGAGCATGTACCTCAACCTACAAGTTAGATTCATGTGTACTTCTTGAAACATGGTTAGTGCATTCTGACTTTAAAGAAATAATATCCAGAGGTACAACACCCAAAACATCAGATACAAAATCGTATACAAAATTAGATTTGTTTTTGGAACAGGAATCAAAATCAGACACAGAAATAGATTCAAAATCAAACTCAGAAACATAATCAGATTCAGTGCATGCAAGAGAATTGTATACATCAGATAGAAAATAATTTTTATTATCATGCAAAGAATAAAAATTAGAAGCATACTCATCAACAACATCATCAAGTATCTCAGCACGAAAAACAGAATGGTCTTCAGATGGATGTCTCATGGCATCAAGAATATTAAAATGGACAATACTATCACCAAATTCCATGGACAATGTACCAGCATACACATCAATATTAGTTCAGGCTATTTTCAAAAATGGTCTGCCTAAAATGATTGGGACAGATCTATGGGAGAATTAGCAGGAAAAATCAGTTCACCGACCCGAACTAAGACATCCTCAATGAAACCTGTAGGGTGGGTGACACTTCTATTTGCCAATTGTATCACCACACCCGTAGGTTGCATAGGACCAAGAGACAGTGATTTAAAAATGGACAAAGGCATGACATTTATAGAAGCACCCAAATCAAGCATGGCATTTTCAAATTTGCTATTCCTAATAATACAAGGTATGCAGAAAGTACCTGGGTCCTTACATTTTTCATGAATGTGCGGAACAGATTTACCTATCAAAGCATACACATTTCTGCCCATGTTGATTCTCTCATTTCCCTTCATTTTCCTCTTATGAGTGCATAGCTCCTTCAAGAATTTTGTATATCTCGGGATTTGCTTTATGGCATCAAGTAGAGGTATGTTCACCTCTACTTTCCTGAAGGTCTCTAATATCTCCTTATCCACCTCTTCCATCTTTTTGCATGGAATCAATTTAGGAGGAAATGGAAGAGCGATAGGAGGCTGCTGCAAATCAAAATTGGTGCTGGAAGAAGGTCCACCTGCATGGAAATTTCGGGCACCAACTGGTTCATCATTTCGCTCAGGTGCAAATGCTGGAATTTGTACTGGCACAGGTGCAGATGGAGGTGGAGGTACTGTAATGGGTATGTCAATCTGTTTCCATGACCTTAATGTGATGACACTCACATTTTTTGGATTCTGCACAATCTGAGAAGGCAATCTATCTGAATTTTGTGACTGTGCCTAATTAAGTTGAGTAGCCATCTGCCCCATCTAATTGGTCAAGCTCTAAATGGAAGCTCTGGTCTCTTGCTGGAATTGCATATTTTGAACCGTTATCTGCCTCACTAACTCCTCCAATGAAGGTTCACAAGTAGAAGGTTGAGGAGCTGGTGGTGTAGGAGCTTCATGTTGTCTTTGTTGCTGTTGGATAGGGGGAGGCACATATCTGCTGGGACCAGCAATATTTTGGAAGGCAGGGGATGGCTGTTGTTGCTGCTGCTGGTTAGACCATCTGAGATTGGGGTGATTTCTCCAACCTGGATTGTACCTATTACTGGAGAGGTCATAAATCTACTGCTATTTTTGTTGGACAGAAGGTCTGTTGTAAATATTTGCAGCATATGCCTCTAGATGCTCATTTACTCCTGACTGTTGTAGAGAAGGGCATACATTTGTGTGGTGATCAATTGAAGAACAAAGGTCGTAGACCCTTGCTATAGATGCAGATTTTTGATTTGCAGCAAGTTGAGTCACCAGCTTTTTACTCTCCAGCTTTTTATATACATCAGTGGCCACATCATGAACTCCTCTGATGACAATTGCATTGTCTGGTACTAAATTGTTGAGAGTTGGAGGCCATTTTTTCTATCAAGTGCCTTGCTTCAGCTGGGGTCATGTCACCAAGTGCTCCACCACTTGCAGCATCTATCATACTCCTCTCCATGTTATTCAACCCCTCATAGAAATATTGTAGCAACAACTGCTCAGAAATCTGGTGGTGAGGACAGCTTGCACACAACTTCTTGAATCTCTCCTAGTACTCATACAAGCTTTCTCCACCAAGTTGCCTGATCCCTGATATATCCTTTCTGATTGTAGTGGTCCTCGAGGCAGGGAAGAGTTTCTCCAGAAACATTCTTTTCAGATCATCCCAGCTAGTGATGGACCTAGGAGCCAAATAATACAGCCAATCTTTAGCAACTCCCTCCAATGAATGTGGAAATGCCTTCAGGTAAATGTGATCCTCTTGAACATTAGGAGGCTTCATGGTAGAACAAATAATATGGAACTCCTTCAGATGTTTATGTGGATCCTCACCTGCATGACCATGCAACTTGGGCAACAAATGGATTAGTCCAGTTTTAAGCACAAAAGGAACATCTTCTTCTGGATATTGAATACACAAACTCTCATATGTGAAATTAGGTGCAGCCATCTCCCTAAGAGTCCTCTCACGACCACTCCTTGTCCCAAGTATTCTCAACCACTCCTAGTTTGTCAACTTCACTCATTGACGTTAGAATTCTTTAATCAGCCTCTTCAGGCTCGTAGTGAGTATTA